ATTTTTTTAATTATTTTTATTTATATATAGGCGTGTGTGTATGTGTGTGTATGTATATGTGTGTGTGTGTGTGTGTATATATATAATATAAAATTTCGTTCTACGTGTATTTTGATATCAATATATATTAATTTTAAAATACAGTTAGAACGAAATTACATATATATTTTTTACTTATTTATTTTGTATTTTTTTAATTTTATTATGCATTTACATATTTTATATTATATATAATTATAATTATATATTTAATCAATATCATTCTACGTGTACTTTAATATATATATTAATATTAAAATACACGTAGACAGTGTATGTGTATTTATGTGTGTGTGTGTATATATAATATAATTGTATTTTAAACTGTTTTCAGACAGCAAGGGGAGTACCTGTCATTACAGGCACTCCCCTTGCTGGCAATGCCTTGGACGGATAGGCCGTCCATGTGATTGCGAGGTCCTCGCGATCACATGGCCCAGGGGGGCCGAAGAGGACGGAGGAAAACTCCCTGGGCTCCCAGGTAAGTCCCCATACCGCGTTGATTTGCCGACGACCAGGTAAGTACCCTGGACGGTGGGGACGTGCTATGCCGCCCGCCAGGCGTTTAGAGTCAGTTCCCTAAGGATGGCATAGCACGTCCGCCGTCCTTAAGGGGTTAAAAATTCGCTTTATAGAGGATATTTGAAAAATAAACTAATTGTAATATGTTGATAAGAGTATAGATGTTTTATAATATATGCTTTCTATTATCAGTTTTATTAGCTCATGTTAATTAAAATATGTATTTCTATATAGATCATGTGGAGGAAACTCCAGCTAAGGCAGCTGATAAGGAAGGTCCACGTCACGCCCCACGAAAACAAGGGTGGCCAAAGGGAGTTAAAAGAGGACCTTCAAAGAGAAGACGTAGCATGGACAGGAAAGCCGGCTTCAAACTCAATTTATATACTCCTCCAGAGACCCCCATGGAACCTGATTACAAGGCTCAGATTGAGGAGGTGAAAGAGGCAGAAAAAGAAGAGAAAGATTTCTTCACTCAAGAGGTTGCAGTGCAAACTAGTAAAGAGTCTGAACCTAATGAAGAGGAACCAGAGACCATCTCCTCAGAGCCAGCTAGCCCAAAGAATACCAATGTGGAAAAAACAGAGTCTGTAGATAATCAAGAGCTCAATGGGGTTATACAGGAAGAAGAAGAGAAAGATGAAGACAAGATGCAAGAAGAGGACACCACTAAAGAGGACGAAGACAATGAGAAGCCAAATGAAGAGAAGCTAGACAAAGAAGATGAACAAATAAATGATTCAATCACCGGAAAATCAGATACTCTTGCTGTAATGGAGGAAGAAGAGGAGGAGGAAGAAGAGGAGCATTCTCACAATGATGATCATGATGCAGACGATGAGGATGACAGTCATCTGGACACATCTGAGAAGGAGATTTCAGAAGAGCCACTTCAAGAACCCATAGAGGAACAGGAGACTTTTTTAGAGCTTGGCATCACAACTGGCAACTCATGTGAGGGAGAGGTTTCCAATAGCAGCGGTGCTGATGTAATGGAGGTGGAACCCATCAGTGAGAAGCCTAGTAATCCAAAGGCTATAGAGGAAACAGAGGAGCAAGCCATGGTTCCTGATGAAAGCCACACTGGGAATCTGGTCCCACAGCTGTCAGGGGATGGTGGAGAGACTTTGGACATTGACTCTGAGACTGCACAGGCTGTCCAATCTCTTACACGTGAAAGTGAGGAACATGAAGCATATACAGACTGTACAGAGACCCAGGAGGCTTGTCACAGCCTTCAAAATTATGTGCAGAGCCCAACAGCTGCTGTTACAGAGGATTGCCAACAATCTGACCACAGCAGCCCAGTCTCATCTGTCCATTCACATCCTGGTCACTCAGTGAGGTCAACAAGCAGCCCTAGTGCACCCTCTCTGGAGAGTAGTTATGCTCAGATCAGCCCAGACCAGACTGGTATGGCCGTTCCGTCCATGCAGAATTTAGAGACCAGTCCGATGATGGATGTTTCGTCTGTGTCTGACCATTCCCAGCAAGTGGTGGATAGTGGATTCAGCGACTTGGGCAGCATTGAAAGCACCACAGAAAATTATGATAATCCCAGCAGCTACGACTCTGGCATGGGTGGAGGAAATATGTCTTCTCAGAACAGTTGTTCTTACAGTGGGGGATTGACCTCTTCCAACTTGACTCAGAGTAGTTGTGCTGTAACTCAACAGATGTCTGCCATGAATAACAGCTGCAGCATGATCGGGTCACCACCACAGCAGCCCCAATGTAATGTTAAGTCCCCACAAGCTTGTGCTGTGGAAAGGCCTCCAAGCAGTGGACAGCAGCTTGCTCCATGTGGCATGTCTACTGCTGGCTTTACATTGCAGGACATTCCTGAGACAGGAGGTAGTGGCCTTGGAGGGTTGTATGATAGGATAGGCCAAGGGGACTTTGGGCCTGGGCATTACCCTCAGCCCTCTGCAACTTTTAGTCTTGCCAAACTGCAACAGCTGACCAACACCTTAATGGACCACTCCCTGCCTTACAGTCACACACCTGCTGTTACATCCTATGCAAATGGTGCTTCCCTTTCTTCCTCTCTAAGCAACATGGTGCAGCTTTCGCAGTCACCACATTCTGTACCCCCTCAGTCCCAGGTGAACATGACTCCTCCCCCAAACCTTACTCCACCTCCTATGAACCTGCCCCCGCCATTACTTCAGCGTAACATGACCAGTGGGCAGATGGGGCTCACACATAGTCAAAGGCTGCAGACTCAGATGGCTGGCAAAAGCCACATGTCAATGCGGACAAAAGTATCTGCTCTACCCCCAGGAGCTACATCTGGTCCCCACCCATCACAGTTATATGGTCATGCCCCTCCGCCACAGGCTGTGACAATGCAAGCTCCTTCCCGTTCCCTTGCCATGCAGCGTGGGATGAATATGAGCGTAAACCTAATGCCAGCACCAGCTTATAATGTGAACCCAGTCAACACACTCAATGCTATGAGTGGTTATCGTATGTCCCAGTCCATGATGAACAGCGGATACCATAGCAACCATGGCTACATGAACCAGAGCCCTCAGTACCCAATGCAAATGGGAATGATGGGCAGCCAGCCTTATGCACAGCAGTCAATGCAGGCTAGTCCTCACAGCAACATGATGTACTCCAGCCCAGGGCATCACGGCTACATGAATACTGCAATGCCCAAGCAGTCCCTCAATGGGTCATACATGAGGCGGTGAGTTGTTCTTAAGGTTACCAGCATCCCTTACCCTCTTCCCTCAACTCTGCAGCAGCTGCAAAATGGAATCTGCACTATGGACTTTCAGACTGATAATGGAGGCAAACAGACTTGCTCCCACTGTCCTCCTCCAAAAAAAATAAACAAACAGAAAACTGTCCCTCCCCCAGTGCTCCCTTTCCTTCACAGTCTCCACAAAGCTCTATTGTGCCAGTCCAGAGTTATTGTTCCTTCTTTTCTGTGTATCTTGTTTCTAGCCCCAGCTTGTAATGTAACCATTTCCCCTTAACCTGGATACTCAAGCTTCTCTCTGAGGTTAGAGGTAAAATCCCGAGTGATGGGAAGGCAGGTTCATTGCATTAAACAAGTAAAGTGGTATAGTTGTCTTCCTGATTTCTGTTCTAATACTCCCTTTTGAATTCCAAAGTCGTGATTTTTATTTTTTTATCCCCACTTTTCTTTCTTGCCCATTTTGAAATCAGAAGATAAGTTTATTGCTTTTTATTGCTTGAACTCATGTATGCAAATGGAATCCTTTCATTGTTTCCCCTTTAGATATAGTTGATTTCCTGTCTGTTCCTATTTATATTGCCCTTAAAATTTAACAATCACATTTATTTTGCTCATCCTCATTTCTTCACCGTACAGTTCCCTTAATTCACATTCACTCCCTTTTATCATCTCACAAGTTCTTTCTCAAGATAATTCAAAACCAGCACTCAAAATTAATGCAAAAAAAAAAGAAAAAGACGACAAAAATATATTTGGCACCACAGAAGCTGGGCAGCCTTACATACTATCTTTCTGTTTCTTTATGTCCTCTCTTAATGCTCTATGGAAGGTAGTGTGAACCATTCTACAACAAAGTATCACGATGGAGCGCTTTCTGGCAGCTGAATGACTAAGTTCCGTTATAACCCCTGTTCATTTTTTAATATACACCACTCTCCTTTCATATTGGATTTCTTTCTAACCCAGCACTGAATTAATATGATCCTGTTTATAATGCCCTAGTCTGTCTTGTTTTCTTTGTTTGTTTGTTTTTTTTCCTTCACTCTTATTTTAATTTTTTAATTGTTTTTTTTTTTTATTTTTTTTTTGCTGGAGGTAAGCCTTACTACGCATGCTGCTTCTGTGTGGTGTGTGAGCTTTTCTACGTAGTAATGTTATAAGTCCTGTGCTAAACTGTAAAGCCATCCGTTATTTTTTTCTGACATTGTTTGGCCTTGTTTGAAAGTTAAAGAAAAAAATAAATATATTTTTGTTAATTATGAAACCGTGTACAATGCTACACTTTTTTTCTCCAGCTTTTTTTCTCTTGATTAGTCAAGATTATATTAAGGGGGGGAAAAAAATCACACACACAATCAGGATGGCATTCTAAGGGTGTCAGGGAAAGAACAAAGTGTTTTTGGAATAAAGACCTAGATAAAGTTTTAATTGTAAACTGAATTGTTGACTGAATAAACCACATTTGCATTCATGCAAATTTCAGAGGGTTATTCACACTCTTTTCTGTATTGAATTACTGAATAATGCACCATGTACTATATTAGGTATATCCTTGTGCACAAGAAGCCGAGTTTAAAATGTGTACATTGATTTATCTTGAATGTTCTCTTTGGCACAGAAAATATTAATGTTTAAAAAATACATACTTTTGCAAAGTGTAAATAACATTTTGTGTGCAAGGTTTAAATAGATCATTATAAATAAGTTTCACACCACACTATCTTGATTTAAAGGGAACATTCCAAGCACCATAACCACTACAGCAACCTGTAGTGGTTAAGGTGTCAAGAGTACCCTGGTACCCCTCCGATTTTAAGAAGTCAAACTGTTTTTAGAATGGTTTAACTTTTTAAGTGTTTTGCTGGTTGCCGCTCCCCACCTCCACTACAGCTACAGTAGAGTGGGAGGGTTTCTGTGTGAGCTTAGGCCGGCAGTGCAGGGCTTTAGCTTCATGGACTGAGAGATCAGCTGACATGCTCAGCCAATGAACTAGTCCTGCACTGCATGGCTTAACTCAGGAGAGCTAGCTTAAGCAGGAGTTACCAGCTCTCCTTTAGCTGTAGTGGAAATGGGAAATAGTGACTGACGAACCCCTGGTGAGACATCAAGTGGTTGTAAAATTAGATTTTGGATTTCAGCTCGGTCACATGACTGAAATCCTTATTTTAAAATTTTGAACTATTTGCCTACTGGTAGCCACTGGGCAAATAATTCCATCTGTACTTTATATTTATTTTTTTAACTTTGTAAAATATTGACAAACCTAATAAAGTATTAAAAACAAAACAGCAATAATTGTTATTGCCTGAGAAGCTGCATGCAAATGGTAGATTTTGTGTCATATTTCCCACTATTTTTGTGTCAATGGAACTATGGGCAAAGGTTTATTTCCAGGACCAACTCACTCTTTGTTTTACTTATCCTACTTTTATATTTTGGATTGACACTGATTTCAACCAAACCGAGAAAAGATGTATATTTTAATCTAAAAATAACTCTGAGACCTGTTTTTTAGGACATGTAAAAATTGTATTTTTATTTGTGTAAGGTTTTTTTAGTGTATGTAGAAATATACAAATGGACAATCATCCATATATTTCTAATATTCTCCAAAGATTTTGCAGTGATGTGTGGTTAGAGCAGTCATTTAGAAACACCACTGCCGTAGAACTGGAGAACGATGAAAACACGTTTTAACCCACCTCGCAGTCCCACCTGTTCCTGGGAAGAATATCTAGCAATTTTATTTAAAAAGGAAAAAATAAAAATTATCTGTCTTGTTTAAGCAGGGCTTTTTTTTTTTTTTTTTTTTTACCTCTTGCGCTTTCTAGAATTGTGAAACGCTGCAGAATTTGTTGACGCTGTATTAATACTACTAGTACTGCTTAAAATGAACTACATGTAAATTTGTTGTGTGATCCAGCATTGTTTTTTATTTTTTTGTTTTGTTTGCGTACGTGTGTATGCTGCATAAATATGAAGAGGCATAATGTACGTAATAAAGCACAACAGAAACTGGCTATGGTTGAAAGCCTAGGAAGGGGAATCCACATTGTTAAAAGAAGGCAAAAACACAGACGGTGGACAAGAAGTCAGGAACAGGAATCCCAGAGAGTAGTTAAAGTCTCAAGCATAAATCAAAGTCAGGTATTTCTTCTCTCAATGCTAGGGCATCCTTTTAAGCCAATGCCTATCAAGGGAAGCAGGAAATGAATTATAGCATACAGAACATGGAGGGGCAAGGGTATGTCTGTACCCAAGGCACAGATCACTGAGACAACAATGAGTGTACATAAAGAGATGGGACCTTACAATTTGGTTGAACATCTCAACCCAACTCTCTCTCACTCTCTAAAAAATATAGACATTGCTCAAAAAAATAAAGGGAACACAAAAATAACACATCCTAGATCTGAATGAATGAAATATTCTTCTGAAATACGTTGTTCTTTACATAGTTGAATGTGCTGCCAACAAAATCACACAAAAATTAAAAAATGGAAATCAAATCTTTCAACCCATGGAGGTCTGGATTTGGAGTCACACTCAAAATTAAAGTGGAAAAAACACACTACAGGCTGATCAAACTTTAATGTAATGTCCTTAAAACAAGTCAAAAGGATCTCATCTTGGTACCTAATGGCAGTCAGGCTACCTCTGACAAGCACATGGAGGGCTGTGCGGCCCCCCAAAGAAAAGCCACACCATTACTGACCCACTGCCAAACCGGTCATGCTGGAGGATGTTGTAGGCAGCAGAACATACCTCCTCGGCGTCTCCAGACTCTGTCACGTCTGTCACGTGCTCAGTGTGAATCTGCTCTCATCTGTGAAGAGCACAGGGCGCCAGTGACGAATTTGCCAATCTTGGTGTTCTCTGGCGAATGCCAAACGTCCTGCATGGTGTTGGGCTGTAAGCACAACCCTCACCTGTGGACGTTGGGCCCTCATGGAGTCTGTTTCTGACCGTTTGAGCAGACACATGCACATTTGTGGCCTGCTGGAGGTCATTTTGCAGAGCTCTGGCAGTGCTCCTCCTGTTCCTCCTTGCACAAAGGCGGAGGTAGTGGTCCTGCTGCTGGGTTGTTGCCCTCCTACGGCCTCCTCCACGTCTCCTGATGTACTGGCCTGTCTCCTGGTAGCGCCTCCATGCTCTGGACACTATGCTAACGGACACAGCAAACCTTACCACAGCTCGCATTGATGTGCCATCCTGGATGAGCTGCACTACCTGAGCCACTTGTGTGGGTTGTAGACTCCGTCTCATGCTACCACTAGAGTGAAAGCACCGCCAGAATTCAAAAGTGACCAAAACATCAGCCAGGAAGCATAGGAACTGAGAAGTGGTCTGTGGTCACCACCTGCAGAACCACTCCTTTATTGGGGGTGTCTTGCTAATTGTCTATAATTTCCACCTGTTGTCTATCCCATTTGCACAACAGCATGTGAAATTGGTTGTTACTCAGTGTTGCTGCCTAAGTGGACAGTTTGATTTCACAGAAGTGTGATTGACTTGGAGTTACATTGTGTTGTTTAAGTGTTCCATTAATTTTTTTGAGCAGTGTATATATTTATTGACAAAAGTACTCCTCTTCTTTGGTACCTTGTCCTGGGATTAGGGTGTTAGTCTTCTCAGGCTTCAGAGACACTTCACACGCTGGATGAGGTAAAAGGACTTGCTCTTTTTGTTGTGGTTTCAAATTCAACAATGTGCAGTAAGGTAAAACAAAGTGTTAAAATAAAGAAAACAAAATCATTGCTCTTCTGAGCACTAATTTTACAAAATAATAAACTGGGTTGGATGGCTTGCCCATTTCCCAACATAAATATCCACCTTACTGTTTTAGGTTCTTTCAGTTTCTTTAAACTCACAGGAAGCAAACACAATCTTTCCTCCTCCTTTGGCAGGGGAGTACTTATTAGCACCTGCAATTAACAATCCTTTTCAGGTAAATCAGGATTGAAACTCTGGAACTGGACTCCTCACCTGCAGTTTCCAAGCAACCTCCAAAATGTGGAGTGGAGCACTGGCCCATCCTACTCTCCAAGTTCTCCACCCCAGGGCCCAAACATACACATATATAAAGTGCAATATGAATTTTAACACAACACATTTCCCTGGGGCTACATACATAAAGTATTTATGCTCTTTGAAAAATTCTAGGGTTGAACTCTAAAGAACCAGCGGGTCACTCTACTATGTTTTTCCTTTTCTTGGCTCATCCACGTAAGAGTTGCATGGTCTGTCACTAATCTGAATTTTATTCCCAAGAAATAGTATTTGTGTGTCTACTGCCCACTTTATAGCAAGACGCTCCTTCTCAACCATAGAATAGTTTCTCTCTTGGGGATTAAGCTTCCTACTTAAATATAATATGGGGTGCTCCTCACCCTGAATTTCCTGAGAGAGAACGGCACCAAGCCCTACATCAGATGATTCTGTCTGTAAAATAAATTCTTTAGAAAAAAAAATCAGGTGTTCCCAACACTGGTAGGGCACAAATGGCTTCTTTAAGATTTCTAAATGCTTGTTCAGTCTCTGGGGACTTGCCAATAACCTTTAGTTAAATCTAGTGTAGTGAGGTACCGAGCTCTTTCCACTAGCTCATCAGCTCTATGCATGGGGTATGCATCAAACTTAGAAAAAGCATTCAGTTTTCGATAATCGTTACAAAACTGTACTGTACCATCAGCCTTTGGTACCAGCACAATTAGACTGCTCCAGTCAATTTGTGACTCCTCAATTACCCCAAGATCTAACATTTTCTTAACCTCTGCTCTGATAGCTTCTTAGCGAGCCTCAGGTATTCTGTACGGTTTAAGATAAACCCTTTTTCCTGGTTCTGTCAAAATATCATGTTTAATCACACTAGTCCTTCCTGGTACTGGGGAGAATACATCTTTATTTAATCTTATAAACTCCTTAACTTTCCTTGTCTGGTGTATGGACAGGGTCTCTGAGATATTTACTTCTGGGTCAATATTACACTTTTCAGAGAAGGCTGAAGTCTCTGTAGTAACAAGAACTTGCCTTTCTTTCCATGGTTTTAGCAAATTGACATGGTATAATTGCACTTCCTTTCGTCTGCCTGGTTGCCTTACTTTGTAATTTACCTCTCCCACTCTTTCAGTAATCTCATATGGCCATGCCAAGTTGCTAGGAATTTGTTCTGTACTGTGGGAATCAGGACGAACACTGTCTACTTCTCGAATTCTAGCATTCTTATTATAGTTATTCTGCTGACTTTGTTGAGCCTTTTGCATATGTTCCCTAACTATTGGCATGATGGCTTCAATACGTTCCTGCATCTTGCATCAGAGTTATGTAACACCGCGATGTGGAGGTAGCTTCTTGTCCCAAGCTTCCTTTGCTATGTCAAGTAATCCCCTGGGGTGTCTGCCATATAATAATTCAAAAGGTGAGAAACCAGTAGAAGCTTGGGGTACTTTTCTAAAAGCAAACATAATATAGGGCAATAGAAAGTCAGTTTTTCACATCCTTATCAGTTACTTTGCACAGCATAGTTTTTAATATTTTATTAAATCGCTCAACCAAGCCATCAGTTTTGAGGTGTTTAATGTGAAGGTGCTTGCAGAGTGCCTTTGTAACTTTGGACTTGAATGAAGTGCCCTGATCTGATAGGATCTCCTTGGGAATTCCCAACCCGGGATAAACATCATCATTAACTCTTTGCGGAGGTTGTAGGTAGCATAGTCTAGTATTACCAATATATACTGATGCCCCCTAGTGGATTTTACAAGAGGACTCACAAAATCCATAGCAATATGTTCAAATGGAACTTCAATAACAGGCAAGGGTACTGAAGGGCTACGGTAAGCCGTAAAGAGCACAGTAACCTGACAGTCAGGGCATGAAAAACAATTGTAGATTATACTAGCTTTAGTGTAACTATAATCCTAATTTTATTAATGACAGGAGGCAAATATTTGCTAAGTCTCTCTTTACTAGAACTCCACAGCAGCACATTAACAGAGAAAAACACCAATCACAAAAAAGTAAGGAATCCATAAAAGGCTCCTCCCAACCAACTATTTCCTCTTTCACGCTGTGACAAAATAAAGTACATGAACACTACACAAACCATAAAAATAACAGGAGAAAACAAACATAATACGATGATTGCCATCCGAAATTGTAACGTGGAACCAGTGGATGGAATCTTGACCTTTAGCCTGAACAATATCCGGATCTAAGAACCGTAGTCGAACCATTAAACTGAAACGAGATAAACCGAGTCGAAAACTCTGATTAGTGAATGAAATGTACTGTGAAAACTTGAATCCCCCTCATCAAATACTGACAGTACAACATCCCAGATAAAACCCTACTCCCCTAGGAACAATACCAGACCTATCTATCATAGCCCAGGAGACCAGGCGAAACTAATAGTAGGTCAACCAAAACTAACAAAAAACCAAGGGGAGGGAGAAACTGGAAGGGAAATATTCGCCTCCTGTCATTAATAAAATGAAGATTGTAGTTACACTAAAGCTAATATAATCTACAATTTTTTTAGCATGACAGGAGGCTTCATATTTGCTGTTTTAACGCTCCAACAGCAAAGCAAAAGAAGCATAACCGACTGTCTAAAATAAATTGGTGTAAAGTATCTTCTCGTGACCAGTCAACTGAACACATGAGTTGAAGCGCCTTCCGGTGCCTTTAACCTAATTCGCTCCGAAGATCTAATTCACCCCCGCCAATGTCAATAACCATTTAATCCATCACGCCATAGAAGGAGTCGAAACTGATATGAGTGGTCTGAGATCAACAACTGGCCGGAAGGAGAAGAGCGAGGAGGAGTGGAAACCGCTACCTCGCTACCCAAAGCTAAGGCGCGACGCATAAATATGGATAAAAAAATTACTTCGAATCCGACTAGTACGTCTAGACAGCCTGGAGGTGACCCCATCCGAAGAGAAAGAAAACGTCGATCTCAAAGGCCGGGCCTCAGAAACATTACTGAAAGAGTTAAGGCATAGTAAGAGGGCAACAAACTGAAGTTGACGATAAGAGCGGCCTCGATAATTGGGTCAAGAAAAAACGCGCGCACATCCCTAAAACTAGGGAGGGTGGTCGTTACAGTCTCATACCACGATGAAACCTGCGACTACCAGATCCTGACCAAATGGTAGCCTAACCTCTAATCAGTACCGCGAATAGTAGATCTCGCCAACTTAACAAACAGGTGTCTCAGAACAAACAGGTGAGACAAAGTACAGCACGCTGGTAACAGGACCCGTGAAGGGATCGGTATCCCGTTCCAGACGCCACCGACATCAGGAGCCCCCTGCCGAAAATAGCATCTCCTAGTCCCACGGATCCCAGAGGAGATCCTAGCCGACTGCCATCATGCCTCGACCTTCCAGGCTCCCCTGAAAGAGTCCAGGCCACCAATTGTAGACGACAGTCCTTCACAAAGTGATGAGGATTGAATCTGAGGGAAGCATCAGTGGTGCCAGCATGAAAAACCAGTGGAGCCAGCAACACCAAAGACACGTTGATGGTGACTTGCAGCAATACCCTGGGAATCAAAGCCAATGGATGAAACGCATAAACTCCCCCAGAAGGACACGCCTGGAGAAAAAACGTCCACCGTTCAGCACGCCAGGTCCCGAAGCTAGCTGAAGTAGGTTGGGACCTGAAAGTTCATGCGGGAGGCGAAAAGATCAACCGTGAAGGAGCCACTCTGCCCCACGAGTTCGAGGAAGATGGGATGAAGATGTCGCCCATCGCTGGTGTCCCTCCAATGTCTGGAGAACCAACCCACTGTCAGGTTCGACTCTCCTGGTAAATACACCGCCAGGGGGTGAAGTTGTGCTGGGGCATAAACTGTAGATCTCCTACGTTACCTCCAGACATAGGATCTTCCTTATCACCTTCAGAATGGTCGCTATCTTGGATAGAGGCAGCCGTAGGGCACCTTCTTCCGCGTCTACTTCGAAACCCAAGAACTCGACCATCTGGGTAGGAGAGAGAGCTGACTTCTCCTGGATGACCATGAACCCTAGGTGTTCGAAAAGGAGACCGCAGAGTGCATCTGACACTTCAGTCTGAATGACTCCTCGCAGAATTGCATGGCTGGAGCCCACTGTACAGCCCCCTTGTCGAACGGAGCCCGAATAATCTGCATTTATCAGGGTCTGTTGCTCTCGAGGCAAAAGGGAACCGGTGGAGGACGCACCTGAGTCGGGGGGGAAATGAAAAGGCTATGATATATCCCCAACCGTCCGAAGAATGATGGTCCACAGGATCCTCAGGGGTCAGAAAAGCAGAAGCGGCTGGAGACGCGACCCCGCTGTCGTCCACCCCTGCCAAAAAATCGGTGAAAACTACAGGCGAAAGACCCGTTACACGGAGGTCTGCGCCTTGTCCCAGGAAGTTCACATGTTTGTGTAGTTCCATAATGAACGGTTCCCCCAATATTAGACCTTTAGCCAAGGGATCCAATTCCTTTGACCCCAAGTCCGACAATTTGTTGACCATCCTCAAGGGGGCCGCCTTCCTGTGTTCCGTTTAGAGGGCCACGTTTGTATTGCCCAGTAGGCAAATAGAGCGCAAGATCTAGTCCCGCATGGCGGTAGGGTCCAAGGTAGCCCCCTTCCAAGTAGGTTTCATCAACCATCATTAGCATCCTGCACAGGAAGCCCAGCATGTCCAGTAGTTTGTCCTGTTTCAACAGAGGCTGCACTCAACCCCCTTCATGGGATCATGCCCCCTATGGGTCATGTATCTAGCGACCATGGAGTCAAAGTCCGGGGTCGTGGTGGGCGTATGGTAGTTCCGGCCTGGGGCATTCAGCCCGAAGTGATCTACGCATCTCCCAATCCAGAGATCTGCGGACCCAGTAATGTACGAGTTGTGCCAAGTGATTGGGAAGGGACCATGCGGAGGACCTGGGGTGTCGAATGGTCCGAAGGTCGAACAGGGGTTCGCCCGCAACATCCAAGAAAGTATCCTTGTCCGTGGTCATAGCTGTCCCCCAGGCGTGGAGGCATCCTCCGCTTCATGGTGCCACTTAGGGTCGACTCCAAGGTCCTCTTCCACTCAACTTCCTTCTCAGAGGGGAACTGGCCCTCCCGCCATATAAGGGGAGAGGGAAGAGAGGCCCCCATTCCTGCGCCTGGCAGGTGGGGGCGTCTGGCCGGTGAGGCCGACAACGCCGGACCATGATGCTTCGCCGAAGCCTTGCTTTTCCCTTCCAATTGCGCCCTTGATCGTACTCTCCTAGGAGAGTCCTACTCAGCCGAGTCGTCTGCCATGTGGGAGATCTCGCTAGCGACCCATTCCAGTTGAGGTAGGGCCCTAGTCAGGGCCTATTCCACAGAGGCGGCTACTGCCGCATTAATCACGGCTTGCGGATTCTGCTCTTGGGTAAATGGCTTCGTGCTCAAGGGGCCATGGGCAAGCGTGACACCAACGGGTATAAGGACAAGCGTCACCAGTATGTAAACGGGGCAGCACCCCTAATAAGGGCAGAGGCAAGCAGTTAGCGCATGCAGTGTCCAGGTGGGCGTGTAGAGCCGTCAGGCGTACTTAGACAGGGGCACAGACAAAGCTGGTCAAATAGAGGCACAGTCAATGGCAGCGCTGGTCAAATAGACCTTCAAGGTAGGCCAATCAGATATAGCAGGGAGCGTGCCCGAGGCTAGGATGTCAGGCATGCAGAAAACTGAGATAAGCATCCACAGATACTGCAATAATAATGACATGTTGCCCCAGAAAGATACATTCAGATTACTCTGGTGTCCAAGATATGTCCTTGGGGTGTTACTACCCCCACTTTAATGATACTCATTCATGTACAGCAGCAGGGTGAGGGACAGAGACAACTCTGCCAGGGTGTGAACCTGTGACCCCCACAAGGATTCAACAGATTCTAGTAATAATGCATCAACCCACTATCGCACTGATATGTAAGCAGGGGATGCTGCATGGTAGAGGGGAGTGCAGCATTTGGACTGCAACTCCCACCACCATTTCTCTGGCAGCCAGAGAAAATGAGCCAGACAGAGCAGGGACCTGGGCATAAACAGTTAACTGTGGAGGGGGGCAAAAAACCTGCAGCCAAATCTCCCCTCTGGGTACAGTACATATCCCTTTAAATGGCACAAAATGAGCACTGTACCTTTAAGAGCGTCCGGCACTAAGCTGCAACCCCTCAGCGCGCACACGAGGTCGCTGGAGGGTGAGCGAGGAAACAGTCACCGGCAGCAAGTGCATTAACTGACTGGGATATCTAGTGAAAAATCATACAATGCCTTTCCCAGTGGCTGAGTGACAGGCAACAGAGGGTTGGAATATATTCGAAGCTTGGACTTGTCACCAGTGGAGTACCTCAGGGATCTGTACTTGGACCCATTTTCTTTAATATTTTTATTAGTGATATTGCAGAAGGTCTTGATGGTAAGGTATGTCTTTTTGCTGATGATACTAAGATATGTAACAGGGTTGATGTTCCAGGAGGGATAAGCCAAATGACAAATGATTTAGGTAAACTAGAAAAATGGTCAGAATTGTGGCAACTGACATTTAATGTGGATAAGTGCAAGATAATGCATCTTGGACGTAAAAACCCAAGGGCAGAGTACAGAATATTTGATAGAGTTCTAACCTCAACATATGAGGAAAGGGATTTAGGGGTGATTATTTCTGATGACTTAAAGGTAGGCAGACAATGTAATAGAGCAGCAGGAAATGCTAGCAGAATGCTTGGTTGTATAGGGAGAGGTATTAGCAGTAGAAAGAGGGAAGTGCTCATGCCATTGTACAGAACACTGGTGAGACCTCACTTGGAGTATTGTACACAGTACTGGAGACCGTATCTTCAGAAGGATATTGATACCTTAGAGAGGGTTCAGAGAAGGGCTACTAAACTGGTTCATGGATTGCGGGATAAAACTTACCAGGAAAGGTTAAAGGATCTTAACATGTATAGCTTGGAGGAAAGACGAGACAGGGGGGATATGATAGAAACATTTAAATATATAAAGGGAATCAACACAGTAAAGGAGGAGACTATATTTAAAAGAAGAAAAACTACCACAACAAGAGGACATAGTCTTAAATTAGAGGGACAAAGGTTTAAAAAAATATCAGGAAGTATTACTTTACTGAGAGGGTAGTGGATGCATGGAATAGCCTTCCAGCTGAAGTGGTAGAGGTTAACACAGTAAAGGAGTTTAAGCATGCGTGGGATAGGCATAAGGCTATAAGATAAGACTAGGGAGTAATGAAAGTATTTAGAAAATTGGGCAGACTAGATGGGCCGAATGGTTCTTATCTGCCATTCTATGTTTCCCTATTCACACACATAATACTGCTCTTCGCACATGTTGGTGCGATATAATGAAACTGCCACTGACAGTAAGAGCAGGAACTGACAGGGATTAATAGTGAAAAATCATACAATGCTAGTCCCTATTCACATACATCATACTGTAACATAGGGGAAACGGTCACTGACAGTAAAAGCATGAACTGACTGTCAGGTGATCGGGAGCAGTCGCTCCCATGTGGTCAGCCTGCTCTCCCACTACTGTCCACGCCAACCCCCAGCAATCCGGTGCCGGGAGCAGAGACGGTGGGAGAGAGCAGGCAAACCGCTCCCACCTGGCGGACGACACCAGCGAGCGGGGAAACACGTGGGACTGCCGGAGTCTTACTCCGCAGCCCCGGCAGACAGCAATGGGAGGCGCTCGGAGGACGGCCACCCAGCTACTGCCGAGCAAGCGAGGGAAGGTGAAGTAAACGGCCGGGCAGGGCGAAGGAAATGGGGAACAGGCTACCCTAGAACCCTAGCCGGCAGGACAGACCACCAAAAAAACCAAGCAGGAAGAACCCTGCACAAATCCCCCACACGGCATAGCAACATCGCACACCAAATAATGAAAATACAAAAAGTACTAAACATTCATAAATCTGTATAAAATATGTCTACATAATGAAAAAAATATGCATAAACTTGTATAAAATCTGTACAAACCAAGTATAACATATGTATAAATCATGTATAGAATATGCATAAAATATGTGAAGAATATGTATAAAATATATATTAGCTATGAATAAACTATGAATAAATATGTGTAGAAAATATGTATAAAAAAATCCACAGCCACCCAAAGTAGCAGGAGGCAATGGTACTCTGACATGTGCTTGATGTGGAGCAGCAAAGAAAGAGGAAATAGTTGGGAGGAGCCTTTTATGGATTCCTTACTTTTTTCTGATTGGTTGTTTTTCTGTGCTGTTGTTGAGTTCTAGTAAAGAGAGACTTAAGCAAATATGAAGCCTCCTGTCATGTTATAAAATTGATGATTGCTGCAGTTACTTCAGGCCAATAAAGTGTCCACAAAACTCGCTCTCTTGTTTTGTCAACCCCTAGGTGGCCACCAAGAACATGGCTATGTGCAAGGTTTAACACAGTGCGCCCATAGCTGCTTTGTAATAACTGACTCCTTTTTCTCAACTCTGTACAAAAGATCATTATCCACTTCAAAATAAGGGTAAGAGATTTTTCTGGATTGACAGGGGATTGATTCCTTATTGAAATATTATTCCTGGCTACCATTGACGTTGGGTCAGACCACTGGGCACTTCTGAAGTTACCTGGACTAACCTCTAAATCAATTAACGCTACTTCTGGTCAGTGGCGGATCCAGAGCCTGGTCTCGGGAGGGGCACATCCAGATTGTTTTGTGGCGGCAGTCAGAAAATAATGTGGTACTTATAGAACAGACTATTTTACTTAACCTATCATACAGCTCTAGCTTTAAAAGCAATCACATTTGTCTTTCCAAATTACGGATTTTAAAAATTACAAACACACAGGTGACATTTAACCACATATAACTTTATTATTAAACAGTTTCGGAGACATTTTCATAAGGAGTTTGTATACTGATTATAGAACAAAATATTCCCAAACAAAATAGTAACAAACAATACACAATTATGTGTAAAAAGGTAGAAATATACTGATAACGGTGTCACATTCCAAACACTAAAAGCAACAGACATTATATTTGTACATTAAAGAACATGAACAATTCACAGAATTAGCTAGAGTCTTTGTTTTCATTGCTTTGCAAACAGCTCAATGATTCGGTCAGTATTTACAGGAACATCTCTGTGAATGTAAAGCAAACTCAAACCATTTAATCTGTCCTCTGACATTCGTGACCGAAGCCATGTTTTAACACGACAGAGGGTTGAGAATGATCTCTCTGCAGAGGCCACAC